CGTGCTACATGCTTTTATTTTGACGGGTTGTTTCCCCTGGCGAAAGTGGGTAGCTTTGTGTCAAAAAAGCTAAAACTTTCTCCTTTTTTATGAAACTTCTGGGACAATAAAGGCAACATTTTTTTGAGAGAAGAGTTATTGGTGAATTCTTGAGCTGTGGAGGAAGATGATGAAAATGGGTAGGCTACCTGACACGTCCAGCACTGCAGGATCAGTTGGGGATCACAGGGGATCTGTTTTATTTAATTTGGGATAAATGGCATAAAATAGAAGCTTTACATTTTTTTAGTGGACTTGAAATTAGTAGAACCTAATTTTGCAGAAGCTAAATAGGCTTTTAACTCTTTCAAAAGTTAGCAAATGATCTAATAAGTTCGTTATGCTATTAGCAGATTAGTAGGTTAGCAAAACCGACTGGTAACAAGAAAAACTCTCAAATACAGACAAACAACATACTTGCAACATACACAAAAAAGAAATGAAAAAATAAATAAGTTCAATGCAGATTCATCAGCAAAAATATGGCAGCATAACTTAAAGTATTATACAAATCATTGTTGAAAAGTCATGTATTTTCTTCATATAGCAAAATGTATTTTTTGTTAAATGGGGGCAGACGTTAAAAGATATTTTTCTTCTTTCTCCTCCTTTTCATTACATGATATTGTGTTTGTGTTGTGCTGAAATTTGTTTTTAATTAAATGAAATAAATGATTATAAATTAAATAAATATTGCAGGGTTAAAAGAACTGCAATGCCATTTTTTCATATTTCATGCAGCGTCACTGCTAAAGCTTCTCTCTGAAAACGACTGTCAAATTTTCTGACATCGCTGAATCTTCTATCTACTTCAGGTAAGATACTGATTACTCAGAAATACTGCAAACAGCCTTATACCAGCTTGCTGGGCACTACTCTTTCTCTCATTCTGAAATAACAGTAATACAGCATCCTGCTCTCTAAAGGTGATGTGACCGTTGAGGGGAAAGTGCAATTTGCCAAGCAASAARGCTGAATGAAACTCTGCCACAGACATGAACCCTGTGTTGTGTTACCAGTRTCCAAAYGAATCCGGACCTTGTCAGGAGTGAGAAATCCTCACTCAGACAGGTGCAGATACAGATCACCTCTCTCCATGCTGGAAAATGAAACTAAAGTGGCTCCTGAGTGTGACAGCCTGAGCAGAGCAGTAGGAGAAAACGGGGGAAAAGATGAGGGTCTAACACAGAATCAATCATTCCACTTAAGCTTTCTTTCCKTAATTGTTCATAGACTAAATAACGTTTAAATTGAAACTTGAACTAAATGCAACATTCTGCCCTGTTAAAAAAATAAATAAATAAATAAATTCTTCATCTGCTTGTGCAGTCAAACCATTCCTCTGTGTCTTTGATGGGCCAAGATGGTGTAGAACCAACAACCATCTCTCCTCATCACGGCGATACAGTGATACATTAACAATAAATAATGAAGAAATTCATCAGAAGAGACTTTGCATATAGATAGCCTACTTAAGCCGGAAGCGACTATTAACATAACTTTGCAGGAAACTGGAGGATAATTAGAGTGGCTCTCCTTCTTTTCTTCCCCCTTTTTTTACTGTGACTAATAGAGAGGCAATGGTGACAGAAAGAGGGTACAGCTTTCAGAAGACTGCGGTTCATCTAACAGTCACCAAACTCTACAACTGAGTGAGACTCGTGCAAGAATCCCAATCTGCACGGAGGCAACATTTCATTCAACTGTTTTTCTTACTTTTGGATGTATTTCTGTGGCCGGATTTGTGTTTGCGTTGTTTTATTTTGCCCCTTTGAACGTGATCTTAGTAAGTCAAGCTTATGTTAGTTTTTTTTCTTTCAAGTCATTTCACTCAGGGGATATTTAAAGAACAGTTCCAGATTATAAGACCCATCGTGAGTGAAAACGGCACATCTGGAAGCTGCTAAATAGGTGCGCACGGATGACATTGCTGCTGAACGTTGCAAATTAAGAAACAGAAAAAAAGGAATCTTTACAGTCTGAATTTTCTGAATGAAGACATTGCATACAGAGATAAAAATAAAACCTCTGTTTGCATCTCCTCAACTCTCTCTTTTGTTCTCTCTTTCCCCCACTTTTGACCTGAAATATGTTTGCAGCAAAACATTTTGACGTCTGTATCAATTACCGTAACGTCTCTGCTGCAGCACGGGCCGAGGGGATGGAAGGCTTGTCACAGGGAGCTGGAGTGAGCTCATCCCTTTTGTGGAAGGCTGAGATTAAAAGTGGAAGGCTG